GTGGCCCATTGGGTTAGCCAGGTCCACACGCCATCCCTAACATGTCTTGGGCCTGGGGTACCCTGCCTATGCGAGGATAAACGGGATCTCCTCGTCCTATTTCTTTTCTTTTTTTCTGGATCGGACCTTTGTATTAAGGAATGGACTGATTAAAAGCTTTCCAGAATTCAAGGTCTCAGAAAATGGAGTGGAGTCCTTTTTCCCTTTCTTTTTCTATAAATCCACCGTTTTTTGGTCAACCATAAATCCACCTTTCATGACGAGGATTATGGGATTCTCCTCTTTGTGTGGAGGAGGATTCACAGTTCTTAGGTGTATAGGGCAGGTGGGGTTTCGTGGGATTCATCAAAGGGTAAAAAGAGAGCCCAACCCACAAGGCCACAAGCACAAGATGTCGAGAGAGCTATTGAACGAGCCTATTTGATGACCTATAGCTAGCAATAGCATTCATTATATGATAATGTTTATGGGACCGATGGCTCATTCCGGCAGATAGAAGACCACTGTGGAGGCACCACGTTTCCAGGAGAGGACGGGCATTCTGTCCCACAGCTGGATTCTAATAAAAAAGAATACCAAAGAAATATTGGCAGGAAGGCTGTTCGTAGAAGAAGACAACATTTGTAGAACAAGGATAAAGGCTTAAAAGCCATCCAGTCCCAGAAAAAAAAAAAAAAAAAGGTTACTTGCAAATCACGAGATTTGTTTAGATAGTCTGTATATTTTCATCATGGGCACTAGGATGGGGAATTGAGCTGCTCACTCGGCCCAGTAGACTTAGCTTCACCTTTTTTATTTTTCTACACAACAACTTGAAGAAGAGAAAAACTAATAGAAATCCAGTATTCTATTTGAAGAATTTTCACTGCATGGGACCCTATTTTACCCTTTGAAAAAATTTAGACACTTTTGAAACTAATTGGGATTGGGATTTGCTCCTCACAATGTGCATCTCATATGTACTCACAATCCCATCCCATTGTATATTGGGAATATCTCCTCATGAATAATAATAATGCAAAGTACGGGAGATGAATCCGTTGTGCGATTGGAACATGCTGTGAGGTTGGTGAGAGGAGGGCTCTGTGAGGAGCAGATCCGGACTCTCTTGAAACAATATATCTTCCTTCTTGCTTTGGGCGATGATATCACCAGTGAGAACAAGAGAAGCCATTGTTAGTCACTTCATCAAGAAATTGTAGCTTTTTCCTCTTTTCATCTACACAATTGGACGATTTCTTGAACTCTCTTCTGGAACAAAATCTGCAAACTCTTGGAGGGCCTTTCCACCAAAAAGCCTTATTTCATTCCAAGACATCTATTTCAACTTCTAGATTCTAGAATGAAATCTGTTGTTGGAAAATATTAAGAAATATGGTTGTAACAGTAAGTATATATATATATATATTAGCACTTGTCAATGACTCAAATTGCATGATGACAAACCTTTAACGACTTAAATTGAGCGTCTATATAGCCTTTCTTTATTCTATGGTTCTCTTTGAAATTTTGAAGAATGATGAAGGGTAAAAAAGTCTTTTATGACCACAAGGTATATTTAGTATATTTAAAAAAGTTAGGATACCCTTAAATCAATTTTACCCTTCATTTTAAATCCCTAATCAAGCCCACACAAGTATGGAGATGGGATCTGGTGCACTTATATTGCCTACACTTCCATTCAGTCTCTGGCAAGTGTCCAATTACATGTGTGACCTTAGTGGGCTTTATAATAATGGCCCAGACCAGCCATAAGTATTAAGTGAGAGATTAAGATGGTGTTCGGAACCGGTAGTGTTTTGTATAGGTATGTTATTTTCTCATAAAAGTTTTTTTTTTTTTTTTGGTTTGAAACCATTGCTTCCACATAAGTATTTTTCAATGCCACATCAGCATATTATTATTAGCAACAGTAGAAAAACGAGAAAATGTTAAAAAGAGTGTTTTTTCATATCATACCTTTCATGAATTTCAAAGTATGGTTTGAGAAGACATTTTCTTTTTTCTTTTTTCTTTTTTTGAAAAAACACCCAACCAAACAGTGAGTGTTAATTTCTACATAAAAACAGATTTCAGACACTGTTTTTCAAGAAAACTTCATCGGTTCCAAACACCTAATAGGTAATTGTGGGTGGGTTACATGCATTTTATTATTACTGATGAGGGCCATTATAATTGCTTCCACATGCAGCCCGCTATACAATCATTGACTTCTGCTAATCCAAATTCTAAGGGTGAAATTCGGGTTGGTTCGAGTTAGCATTTTATTGCTTTGAGCTTTGACAAAAGAGCCCAACCCGGCCCACCCAAGTCCCACCCTACCAAATTCTATTCACATACACGTAATGGGACATCAGGGCACAAGGAAGAAAGATCCCGGTTTGATGGACGTGATTTGGAAATGAATTATGAACCAATGTCAAGTATGTGTCTGTAAACCAATTGTTCGGAAATTAAACATAATCGATACGAAATGGAAAACCACTCAAGTCAAGAACATCCACCCTCTTCCATACAGGAATCACAGTTTCCAAATTCCAACAATGCATACTAAACAATAATAAAACCTTAACATACACTACAGGAAAACAGACTTTTAACAACTGCAATTCAGTTACGGTTAAAAAACCGTAGCTAAAACAATGGATATAGCCACAGACAACTTCGCAAGGTTGTGATTTAGCTACGGATAGATTGTCCGTAATTATAACCCATTTGTCCGTAGCTAAAACATATTTATAGCCACGGTTTTAAGATGTTCGATGCTATAAGTTACAAAAGTAGAAGTTGACTTATAGCTACGTCCATTTTGTCGTGGCTAAAGATATCTTTGTCTGTGGTTAAAAATTATTTATCACAATAGCTACGGAATTTTAATTATCCGTGGCTATAACTACAAAAGTCAATAATCTTTAGTTACATTCTTTTTATTCATAGCTATTTAATATATATATATATATATATATATATATATATATATAACGCACTGAAAATTAATAAATAATAATCATATAGTATTAATTTAAAATGTTTATTGTTTATTTATTGCTATTCCTAGTAAAGTAATAATTATGGATTTATCAAAATAAATAAATATAATTGATAATTAACAAATTATTATTAGTTCATCTATATTGAATTACAATAATAATTAATGTGATCAATTGCTATTTAATAATAAGTAAACTAGAAAATAAATTATTAATTAATGATTTCATAAGTTCATTAACAAAAAAATAATAATAATTTATAAAATGTAAATAAATATATATTAACTATTATTTAACTAATTAAAATTAATCATGAAAAATAATTCAATTATTTAAATAAATTAATAAATAGTAGGATATAAGAAATAAATAAATAATAAGTAAAAAATTATCAACCACTAATACTTTATTAATTAATTAATAATATTTAATGATAAATGAAAAATAATAATGTCAATTTGGACTATATTATTTAATTTCATAAAATCGTTAATAGGGTAATAGTTATATATTAAATATAGATAAATAATTATTAATTAATAGTTAATTAGTTAAAATAAATATTTATTTAATAAATTAACACTTCAATAATTATTAAATACTTTTTATAAGTAATTTATAAATTAATACTTATTTAATATATAACTTATTTCAACCATTATATTTTACCAAAAAAAAACACACTTTCCCTCTAAACATAATATTTAAGTTTTTATTTATAAAAAGATGAAAAACTAAAATAATATATATATATATATATATTCTCTCTCTATTTATATATATGTATATAATAAAACATATATATGCACTAACCAATGTTTAGGAAGTTGGACCAGTTCACCAAATCGATCGACCAATTAGACTATCGTTAAACCATGACCCAACCCTTAGCCAATTTGATCAATACCCTTATCCTTGTTTATCAAAAAAACATTGGGCAAAACCATATCCACCTAAAACGTCCCCTATCCTTGTTTATCAAAAGCAGTCGCATTGCCTTCCCTATAAGTATGCCTGTAACTCCACCTTTCCTTTAACTCTCTTGACTAGGACTCCGCACTCCTTGATGAATTGGTCTTGCCTTTAGGTAACCATCCAATTTTTTTAAAGTTATATCATTTTTTAATTTACCTTGTATGTAAACTTTTAGAGGTCATAACTTTGTACTTGGTTATCAAGTTTGATCCGATCGATCATTTTTTTAAGTTATATAATTTATAATGTATTTATATCAAATCCAATCCAATTCATTTGCAATCCTAACCGAAGTTCAGGCCCTTAGTAGAGCTAGGGGTGCTCACGGTACAGTGTCTTTTTTGTAACAGAACCGGTACTACCGGTTTATGGAAAACTAGTAATCGAAACCAAACTGAAGTCAATCGGTTAACCGGTTGATCGTTTCAGTTAATTGTCGATTTGATTCATCGGTTTTTAATTTTTTAATTTTTATAATATATATTATTAAATATATATAAAATATTATATTTTAAATAATAAATAATATATCATATATTATAAATATATATTTATTTATATTTATACATATAATGCATATTTATTAATTTATAATATATAAAAAATATAAGATATATATAATATACAAATATATATAAAATATATAGAAATATATGTATACCAGTCGATTTGGTTAACTGTCGGGTTTCTATATTGGTTAACCGAAACTGAACCGATACTTTTGGTTTTTTTAAACATTGAACCAAAACCAAACCGGTCGGTTTGATTAAATCGATTTTTCGATTTGATTTTAATGGGTTTTTTGGTTTTATTTTTGCTCACATGTAGTAGAGCCACAAATTTTAGGGTCGGGCCTAGGGCTACTTTAAGCCTACTTTGGGCCCGACCTAACCCACATGTATTTAAATAAATGTATATTATAGATAATATATATATATTATTTTATATTACATATAAATAAAATATGATAGGCTTGAGAAAGCTAACCCACCTGGACCGGCCTTAAGCCATAGACCATAGTTGTAAAACCCAGTCCATTGTCACCCCTAACCCTATTCTATCCAAGGTTTCCCTCTTGCCGCCCCTTCGAATTTCCCCCTCCCTTGTCTTTCACGCTATCGAATCTCCTGTGCTCTGTAACACTTTCATTGTAGCTTGCACCTTTCACTAACGAACCGTAGGTATTTCTCTACCTCCCCTTCTCTCTCGTTGTCTCGATCTCTCTATCTCGCACTATCTCTCTATCTCTCAATCTCTCAATCTCTCAGTCGAAATTTTTGCTTTGCTGACTTGCAAGCAAGACCCTATACCTGGATACAAATACAAGAGTGAAGAAGCGACTTGCATATCTCCACTCCTCATTCTTTCAGTCGAATGGTGCAACTAGAATCGGGTTTCTCTGTGAAGCAAAAAGAGGGGCATTCCAATTACGCAAAATGAGTTGTGGTAAGATGACAGCCGCAAATCATTTCTAAGGTTATTATTTAGGGCATTTTTTCTAGTTTCATATGCCAATGTCGAATTTTTGGTGGAAGAGGAAGACATGAACATGAAATGAATTGAAAAAAGAAAAAAAGGAAGTCGTAACAAAACAAAAAAAGTGGTATTGGGATCTTTTGTCCTATATGTGCAAATTGAAATTGGGCATATCTTTACCCGGAGTAGAGCATAAACCTAAAAGAATTGAAGAGGCCCATTGGGAACAAGAAAATTACATCGTGATTTGGATTGGATCTCGATGAAACAATACATCAATGAGAGGTTGGATATCCAAGATACGTCAATGGTTAAAGTTTCTTTTTTTTTATGTTTTGTATTGTTTAAAATAAATTAATTGTGTCATTGTGGTTGAACAGGCTTGGTTGAAAGTGGATTTAAGTGTTGTCTTTGTCTGCAGTAACGGAAAAAGCAAGGTAATCTGTTTTATTAATTTATTTGACTATTTTTGTGTGTTTTTCTATACTATTTAATTGTTTTGACAAAGAGAATCTATTTTGATTCTTGTAGTGGGGGACACAGTCCCACAATGTCTCCATTTCCAAGTCATCATACCATTGGAAATGTTGACATTGTTTATTGTTTCCTTAGGTGGATGTGGCACTTGACACCTGCACAAAAACTCACTATAGTCAGGCTTGAGTTCAAGTCATAATATTTGAAAATTGAAACTTCCAGAGAAGAATAGGCTCATGTTTGATGATTGGAAAAGAAAAGAATGCACTACTTCTAATGATAAAACTAATACACAGAAGTATCTTTATCATTTAAAACAAGTACTATTTGACTACTATATTAGCTGATTGCCAAGTTTATCAAATATAGAATATACTCAAAATAAAAAGGGCCATTACCAAAAAATGGTCCTGCCTATTCAGGATATTGGGAGAGGTAGACTGGATACAAATAGACCTAACCTTTGGCATATTTTTTCTTTTGCACAAAGTGACTGTTCTCAGTACCCTATATACCCATCCATACACTGTACATCAATACAATAAGTTCAGAACTAAATGAAACTAATGTGAACTTCTAAGGTATGAAATGAAATCCAATACTAGATAGAGTAACATCTTGCAGGAACAGGGCATGCAACAAACCTGGGGAGGGATGCCCAGCTCCAAGGAAAGAGGGCCCAAAATAAAGCCTCCTCCTAGACCAAGCAGCCCACCAACTACACCAGCCAATACTTCAATATTTTCTGTCATGGATTACTAAAATGAACAAGCTCAGATTATCAAATTCTCAGTTTCTCACAATCAATCATGTTCTAGTTTTCAATTAGTTTCACTCCCTACTATGGGACTGAAAACTTCATTCACCTGAGGCCCATCCTATTCTCTAGTTTTAGTTTTCAAGTTGTAGAATTTCAATCCTTCTAACAACCTAGAGAAAAAGGAATCAGAAACCCTGCAGGAATTGGAAACTCTGCATCAGTTTGCAGAGTTCCTTCCAAACACGGCAGGTCTGTGACACTACTAAAGAAAGCTCAGACTTGTATAAAAAAGGTACCCCTTCTAAGTGAGTAGGCACTGACATAGGCAATAAGATTGAAGTCAGAAACTTTCGTTAATTATCTTGAATACTAGATAGGAATTCTAAAGAATACTTGCAAAAAGTCTAAGGTTATGTCAAATGAAGAAACATTTCATGACATTTGCATCCATGAGTGAGTGCAGAAATGCAACACTTGATCCTCATGAGTCATGATATATCTAGGAAATTCATGTGCTAATAACCCGGAAATGTTACCTGCAATACTGGATTGAGCTTTCTGATTTGTACTGTAACCACTGTATATATTTATATTTATACTCTTAGTGGTCCATTTGATTTTATGTCTGATTCAAGTATGACAACAGGGTCTGGTCCAGTCTTGAAAACCCGACATAACCCACTTAGTAGCTCCTTTTTTCATCAAATGAGGACCCATCTTACCTAAACAGCCTCTGGGGATTGTCCTTGCTCCAACTAAATCAAGCTTGGGTTCAGTTTGGACATTTCTTATCCTGATTCAATCATCCAGACAGACATATATTTGTTAGTAGTGGAAAGTAGAGCTTTCCAACCATTGATCAGGATTAGTAGATTGATTAGTAAAGCTAGAAACCATTGGATAAGTCTGAAACTTGGTTGATTCTTTATATTGAGATTTTTTTCTTCTTCTTTTTTCTTCTTTGCTTTTCTTTCTCCTAGGGCTTTAAATACTTGTTTGTCAATCAGATTATAATCCAATTAACTCTTCATCCACTTTGCTGTCGTCCCATGATGAGCATTTGGGGTGGCAGGAACCTTCTAGGCCCAATGGCCCAGGGTCCAATTGATCTTCCGTGGTTAGAACCAACCAGCTTCCTTGATGGTCCAGACTCGTATACCAGCCTCCATCATGAGTATTTGAGCCTGCCCACTGTTGGTCCAGGCTTGGGCGTTGGGATGTATCTTTTAGCCTATGGCTAGGGCCTGGTTAATTTGAAGTTTGGCCCAACCCAACATGGATCAGATCCGGAATTCCCCTAAACCATCTTTCAACCGCGAGAAAGCTTTAGTCACATACACTTTATGAGTATTATTTGAACCATGGGATTCTTAGTATCCGACACATTAGCACCAATGTGTTACAAAGATGTTAATAATTAAAGATAAGAGTCAAAATTTCCTTCCAAGTTCACCGAGGCTTGTTTCCGATGCCACCATTGCAAGGGTACCCTCAAGGTGTTTTAACTTTCTTCTTCTTCCATTTATCTATTTGATTTTTATGCTTTCCTGCATATCTACTGAATTCAATCATCTATGGTACTTAGTGTTGCGGTTATTGTATCTAAAAGCACGTAGTAGTCCCCCATCAGGTTTTTTCCTGTTTTCATGTTCTATTTTCTGTTATCGTCTGTGTTTCTCCTTTTATAATGATGTTGATGACCATACTTAATGGTTTCTGTTTGTTTCTCCCAGTATGCCCATTGCTTTGTTTGTTGAGTTTCTTTTACCTTGTCTTTATTTTTTCCTGCAATTGACTACTACTAAATTCTGATTTCTACAAACTCTTTTCCTCTTTTGTTCAAATTCATGATGTTGCTGATGATCTTCCTTGTCTTCCCTCGTATGGACTTTTTTTTTTATTTATTTGAAGATCAAATATTGGATTTGTTTGTTCTGTTTTATGATCTACACGTTTTCTAACTTTTCTTTTCTAACTTTGTTTTTCACATATGGAATTGGCTTTTCACATATGTTTGCTTGTTTACTTGCAAACAACAAAAGTTGCTTTGTGTAATTCAAAAGCAGTTTCATATAAGAATGACTAAAGCAAAGAAGCTATTCTTAGTGTCTATGTAGGACTACCACAACAGAAAATGCTGGCCATACTGGTAACTTATATAGGTGCAAATTGGGCAAAGTTGGTTTTGGTTGAGGTCAACCCGAACCCAACTTTCAGACTGAGATTCTTGACCCTAACTAGCTGCAAATGGTATCTGTTTGTATGAATGTGAATATTCAACTATGAACCAGTTCATAGTTGGATTTAATATGGACCCGCCCTTATGCACATGTAACATGGACATCATGTTATAGTAATGTTTTACAAGAAACATCCTTCATCATCATCCTACCTCCCATAGTCCCATCCCTCTCACACTAACTTATATACATAAATCATCAAGTATATATACATCGAAACTATTCACCTACCTAGTGGCAAGGTAAGGATGCCTAACCCAACACCGTGACTTATAAAAAAGTTATCCCTTCTAAGTGACAAGGCACTGACCTATGCAATAGAATTGAAGTCAGAAACTTGCTTTAATTATCTCAAATACTAGATAGGAATTCTAAAGAATACTTGCAAAAGGTCTTAGGTTTTGTCAAATTGAGAAACATCTCTTTGATTACCTGGTGGGGTGATTTGTTTTTTCTGACCTTCATCAATTCAGCTTGACTCTATTGGCCAAATTAGCCTAATTCCTATACCCAAGTCAAGTTAGTATACCTAGGGCTCTAAAAGTTTGAAATTCTATTTGGTATCTAATCCAAATATCTAGGATTTGGATGATCCATTTACAAAATCATCAGATATGGATTTGATCATATCTGATATGATATAATTACTCATATTATTAAAACCTTTTAGTGGATTTTGGGTAGAATTCAGATTTAAAACTGGACACATCTCCTGGAATTAGTAGGTTGTAGGGGAGCCATATTTCCTACTCATAGCAGACCACACTAAGAAGCCAAAATAGGAGGTTTGTATCAGGTTGGCACCCAGCAAAACTTATACCAAACTTTTATGGACTTCGATCATGAAATTGGAGGTACAGGATTCATGTAGCCAGCCCATATACCTGGTACAAGGCTTAGCTTTATTATATAATGTCATTTCATTGTGTTGTTTTTTTTTTTCTTTGCTGACTATTAATTAGAGTGAGACCTATCTAGATGATGGGTCCCTATCTTTTTAATTTAACATGGCTGCTTAAGAAGGCACCTCATTACCCTTGTTTCTCCATTAGGAAAGAAGCCTGATGACTTGAACAGTAAAACCCACCAAATATTCAGTAACTACTACGAGTGGGACTGGTTTTCATGTAAATTCTGATTTGCAGATATAGGGTATCATCATGCTTCCACAACAGCAGATATAGGGTATCATCCTTTTAATTTCTCTCTATCTCATTTTTTTTTTTTGAAATGCTAGATCTCTCTATCTCATTTTTTTTTTTTTTGAAATGCTAGATCTCTCTATCTCATTTTTTTTTTTTTGAAATGCTAGATCTCTCTATCTCATTTTTTTTTTTTTGAAATGCTAGATCTCTCTATCTCATTTTTTTTTTTGAAATGCTAGATCTCTCTATCTCATTCATTTAACAAATTATCTTTTCAACATTAATGATGATTCAAATAAAAATAATTATGTGATTAATGTATGATGATTCAAATAAAAAAAAAATCAGCATAAACATTTATGGGAAACATCATACAAAGTGCTTTCCAGTTTTTGTAGACGCCACTGTCATTTGGAGACAAGCTTCTTTGAATCAGGAGCTTCAAAGAAAGAGAGAGTGTTTGCACTTCACCAATTTCATTTGTAGTGGTGCAAAATTATGGGATTGCAAAATCTGATTTTGTTGTTTCAGCTTTTGGCTTCTTTTGTCTTTGTAATATTGATGAAGTAAAACAAAACCTGAAGCAAAGTAAAGCAAATACCCAAAAGCCAAAATGAATCAGAAGTTACATTCTTACTCTTCTCGTTAACACTCTCATTTCATTTGTATTCGTGCAAAGGAAATTGCACTATAAACAAATGGAACCCTAGTTTCAAGTTTCAACGGGGATTCTGAAGCAAGACTTGGGTTGACTAGAGAAAACATGGATCCGTGTTGACCAGCAGCATTACATTAGTAAGCTGGTCTCATCAAAACCACTGGGGATTCTGAAGCAAGACTTCAGCAAATCAGATCCATCAATAATCTATGGGTTGCAACAGGAGAAGCAATACTCAAGCTTCTCCAATTTCCAACTGTAATCAATACCCTTTACTACTTATAGAATTTCTCTTCTTAATACAGCTATGCAAAATTCTACAAAGCCTTTTTTGTATTTACTCATATTTTAGATTTGCAGGGCTTGATTTTTTTCTTATGAACTGGACTAAATAAAACAAAATCTATGATTTCAAGGGCAACTTCAATCAACCACTGAGATTTGTGTACTAATTCCTGAAACCAACCTCAACCTGTTTTTAATCAGGTGGTTTTCTTTCTTTATTTATATATATTTTATTGATTTATATTCTTATCTTACTTTAATGACTTCTTTACTTTCAAATCTGAAAGCCTGATTTTCTCCCTCACCCAAGTTTTCTATTTAATTAGACTCTCAAAATGAATAACTCTGATTTTTAACTTAACTATTGGAAAAACATTTTTTACTTGTCAAAGGGCACATATTGTGGAGGGATTTGTAGAGTGTAGACCGCCACTTTAATGAGATTTCTTGGTGGTTTATGAAGTTCAAGTACATTTCTATTCTTAAGCCATCGTCATACATATTCATTCATAGGTGCCTGCAGCAATTGGTTGCATATATGTCCAATAAAATGCATCTCCAAGTTTAATTTCCATAGAGAAGAACGATGGATCACTTTGATCTTCTTTCTTTTCCTTATTTGGTATCATCATTTTTTCCCTTTAAGCCTTACATTAGCAATTCATTTTCTAGAAATCATCACATGCACTTTGGTTAATGAATGTATTTCAACTCAATAATCATCATTTCATATTAGGGTATGGTTTCTTGTATCTTTCCTTGGCAGTAAACATTAAACTATGATGAGGAAGTTAAACATAACTAGAGTCTTGGTAGGTATGGGACATGGAGATATTTTGCCAAATTGTGCAGGGAAACTAATGCTTGTTCTTTGCAAAGTTAGGTTAGCATTTGTGTCCCTATCGTTGACCAACTCATCACTTGTAGAATGGTCTTAATGTTATCATATTGTCATTTTAACTTGGGGCTGGAGATAAAGCTTACAAAGACTTTGATTAGAAGAATAACTTTGGATTAAAGTATGTCTTAGAGAAATCATCTCTCTCTCTCTCTAGATCAAGACGGTCCCTTTGATTCAGTTTGCACAAGGATCCCAAGTTTCCTACCATGTCATTGGCTTTTTCTTTTTCTTTAGTTAGAACAAAGAACCCTAGCTTCCATGGGATGTGTTGTTGATTCCTTCTTGAGGGTTTTGGTTCAATGGGTTGGGGATACTCTTCACATGAGATGTTGCTTAATCCATTTAAAAACCCCACATACCTATTGGTGTTGGATTGAATCCCTTTTTGAGTTTTTTGACACATAAAATCAGAACAATTAATATTTTTTTTGGATTTTACTTTATTTTGCTTCATGTCTTAATTTACTTTGAATATTCCACATGCAATCCATAACTAATTTTAAGTTTCTTTTTTTTTTTTAGTATTCAACTGGAGCACAAAGTAGTATTAGACTATTGCTTGGACAAGTGATCATAACAAAGATGCAAGTACCTAAATCTTGTTAGTTTTATTGAAACTATGTAAATCCAGAACATTGTTTTAATGAAATCATTTGAAAATTTTAAAATTTTAGGACAAGTACAAGGATACAACATTGCATGGCCTACAGCTTTGGTAAGTATTTTATACTTAATTAATTTTTACTATTTAGTTTTGGATAGTATGAAATGATTATTTATTGTTTCTTATACTCGTTTTTCAATTTTTACAAATTGAAAAGGAGGTTACACAACGATAGAAAAATTATTGATGGAGAAGTTAATAAGACATTGAAGACATTTGACACTTTTATTATTTTTTATTGTTAAAAACAAGAACATCATGTTATTACTTTTTTGTTGGAAATATTAATTACTTTAATTAAATGTTACATGTTTTTTGTATTTACATTTGCATATGAAAAAAAATTAAAATTTACAAGTATCTTATGACGAGTTATATCAATGATTTGATAATTATGTAGTTATTTTATGACAAGTTATATTGATGGTTTGATAACTATATACAGTTATCTTATAACAGGTTATATCAATGGTTGATAACCATCCAATTATTTTATAGCAGGTTATAATACACCGTTGTGATAGGTATTATTTAACTACGGTTTTTGTATAAACCGTTGCAATAGGTACTCTATAACTATGGTGCTCTCTATAAACCGTTGTGATAGGTATTCTGTAGCAATGGTTTTCTATATAAATCGTTGCAATAGGCGTTTTGTAGTCATGACTTTCTCTATAAACCGTTGTGATAGACATTCTGTAAAAACCGTTGCGATAGGCATTTTGTAACAACAATTCTCTATAAATCGTTGCGATATGCGTTCTGTAGCCACGTCTTTCTCTATAAATTGTTGTGATAGGCATTCTGTAACAACGATTTTTTCTATAAACCGTTGCGATAGACATTTTTTAGTTACGATTTTTTCTATAAACCATTGCGATAGACATTTTCTGGCTATGAATTTTATGAAAAATCGTTGCGATAAACATTTTCTAGCTACGGTTTTCATGAAAAACCGTTGCGATAGACATTTTCTATCTACGATTTTTATGAAAAATCGTTGCGATAGATTCTCCAACTACGGTTTTTGTGAAAAACCGATGCAATAAAAGGATTAATTTTCTTTTTTAAAATGTTTTTAGTCATGGTTGCTAATAGGTACTTTGGCAATCGTTTGTGTAATTAAATAATAGATTTAGCAACGGTTTTCGGAAACTGTTGCGAGAACCTATTGTTACGGTGGAAGAGGCATCGGTTTTGTGTCCCTTGTGAATCCGTTGATAGAAGTCTTTAGCAACGGTTTTTGGGTGCTTCAAGCAACCATTTTATCCGTTGCTAAAAGTCAATTTTCCTATAGTGATACTAATTAACATTGATTAGGTAGCTTATTTAGAGATTTCAGAAAACGAGAAAAGACACATCATTCGTGAAGTTATAAGGGGACTTAATTAACCCCCACCGTTTATCACGTTGCAACAGCTTTTTCTCTAATGTTGAACAAACACGCACGCACAAGCAGACGCTAATCTAGAAACAGAACAGAGCCCTGGCAGCCACTAGCCAGTGTCCTGACCACTTTCATCCACTTGACATGCTGTAGCTAGAATTTTTAGATTTTTACTTTATTTATTCGGTAAAAAATAGAAAGGAATTCACAAATCTTCTGCACCCACTGTGTATTGAATAAATAATAGAAGAAACCAAACTCGAGGCCTATGATGGTTTATTATTTCTTTGTGTTTGTCTGTGAAGAGGAAGAAAATACATCCACATAAGTTATAGCTTTGCTCTTACTTTTTGTCAATTGTTTTTCTCCTCAGAGAGTATCTTCTTTTTCAATCATGACTCTAAACATGGTTGAAAGGCAAAAAGCTAATAGAAAAGGTTGTTTACCTTTTCCTCTTTTCAACTGCTCCTCTATCTTTTTCTTTTACGTTATCCATGGAAGGGAGGGAAGGAGAGACAGTCCGAAAGAGAGGTGACTGTGAGTACGTGACAGTGTGTTTGAGTGGAACGAAAACCCAGACACAGATGAGAGAGGTGTGTGGGGTAATCGTCGTGGAATCCGGGCAGAGAAGAGAAAGCAGGACATAATACCAAGGGAGAAAGGACGTCCTTTTTCTTATTTCTTTCTGAAAAGAATTTTATTTTATTATTATAATATTTCTAAGTATTTATATGGCGACAACCTGCATTGGAGGTGCAAGAAGTGACATTTACGTGTTCTCTCTCTCTCCATTTCTCCACCAGTTTCGAGGTTCTTAAAACGCGTTGAGAACTGGAGCATGTAGCGTCTTCTCCGTTTGTCACTCAGTCGATGGGGGGAGAGAGAGAGAGAGAGGGGTATGGTGCCTGCTGGCAGCACAAGTTACGGGCACCTTCTAACATAAAAACAAAAGGATGCGTTCTAAATTCCACATATTGTTGAATAAATTTGGAAGATGTAACAGCTTACGACCTGGGTTTAATTACTTCAATTGTTTCTGCCAAAGTTCTGACGAATTTGTAACGACTAGAATTAGATCCTGACTTCTGAGTTTGAAAATATGATGAACAGAAGAATTGACCGTTGGAATGGACGAAAATGGAAATGGAGGAGGGGGTTGGTGACTGGTGTTGCAGAACAAGCCACAAGGCAAACTTCCAAGTTCCAATTCGACCATTCCAACGGTTCCTTGTTACTTGAGAGCGGTTTACTGGTGAGAAATCATTTTGAATGCTCAAAGCATCGTCCGGAGAACTGGGCTGCACCTTAAACTTAAACCATTTGGCTTTTATCAATTGAACCGTTTAGTTTGGAACCATTCAATCTTTGTTGCCTTCCAGACAAGAGGAAAGAATGAACGAAATACGGAAAAGAAATAAAAAGAAGAACAATGTTATAAGTTAAAAGAATCAAATGAGCAAATCGATGGTATGACAGTCCCAGATCAACCTGAACCTGAACCATATTGGTGACAGGTTGGTACTTGGTAGTAGTCCCAACTCCTAATGTGCTCCTCTAATTCGGGTTTTTTTTTTTTTTTCTTTTGGTTCGCTAACATTGGATTCCATCTTCAACACATATCCTACCGATTCACGTGTCTCCCACTCTCTCTCTAAAAAAAATAGAAAAAAAAAATCTATGATGCAGGAAAAATCGGAATAAATTTTGATGAAAACCCACTTAATTGTTAATCATTTTCATGATTCTGGTTGATTGGTTATAAGTTTTTCTGGTATCATATCTTTTTGCATCATAATCCAATCTTATATTTTTTTGGTAGAAAAGCCAAAGTTATTTTTGAGTATCATACAAAATTGAACTTTTTAGTTCCGGCCGAACAGTTAGATTGTGTTAAGTAATTAAAGTTTAGAAAAAGAAATTGCTACCTAGGCTCAACTTGGAAGGAGTACAAATATAAATATATACAGTACAAATACACACAAAATACAAGTTTTTGAACTTCATATATTTGTATTTGTAGCTTTTCCTAACTGAGCTATCGGGGGCAGAGCTAGGGGAACTCGGGGGAATCATGGCGCCCTCCTCCCCCATGGTCAAAAAATCTGCACACTGAATACATTTTTCTATGTAAGCTTCCCTCTATGGCCCATCCATAAGTTTTGTCCCCCCTCATAAAAAAATTCCTGACTCTGCCCTGGTGAACCATTCTCTAAAGTACGAGCATCCAAATGCATATTAGGAATATCTCTCCATGAATTTAACATACATACATAGTTATGGATATTCTCAATTTTTGGCTGGATGCCATATAGATAGAGTTTTTGTGGGCAGGAGATTTAGACTCGCCTAGAGAAGATCATGTAGAGAAGCAACGGTAAAATTATTGACACTATGGAAAATTAGGGTATCAAACACCTAGCCAAGCTATATATTAATCTATCGTTTTTCTAGTAATTGTATATAAATTTGCATTGAAATCTACATGTGGGTTTCATGTGTAAAAAAAAATATTGGTGTATTCAGTTATGATTGGTTATGTAGCCCATTATATGGTTGTGTTTCCTCGTTCCCGACCTCGATTATGAAATTAACCTCCGTCCCTGTCTTCGATCCTCGCTGGGGATAAAATTTATCTTCCATCCCCAATCTCCGAATTTTTTTAAATAACAATATTTATTTGAAAAATAAATTTACTTAAAATAAATAAAAAATCTAAATTATAAATAATTTTTTAAATATATTTTGATATATAATATAAATAACATAATAATATATATTTAATATATAACATACATAATATATATACATAATCGGGGTTAGAGGCTGGGACCTCAATCCCCATCCCCATCCCCGACCTCGACCCCGGTCGGGGATTCATATTAATCCCCATCCCTGTTCCCACCCTGCCAAAACAATTTCCATCCCCGACCCCATCGGGTTGAGGAAGTCGGGTTCCCATGGGGATGGGAAAAAATGCCATCCCTAGGAGAAGATCCGAGTCATAAGGATCTAGCTTATGCCTATCTATCATTGGTCCAAAAAGGAGAAAAAGCAGTTTCAATCCTAATCCCTTGAGGTGAACTAGCCCGGCCAGTGGCCACCATGGCCAATCCATCTTCAGTTTCTTTTTTTTCCCCCCTTAAATCATGCCGAAAGAGAGGCCCAGTTTTCGATGAAGCCCAATATCTTGTACAGAACTACAGGCACAACAAAACAGGCCCAACACCACACGTTCATATTCGGTTTCGCTGGGGATGTAGCTAAGTCAGTCCATCAACTGATGTTAAAATTAACAGCCCATTAACTGAACTCAGCGCGTAAAAATGTTGATTAAAATTTAAAAAGATGAACTTTATTCTTTTTATGATTATGATGCTAAAGACAGAAGATAAAAAAAAATGAGTTGGAAATTCATGTGTACTCGTCAATATGACCTGATTGGCCAATCAGTACTAGCAACGTCCTTTGCCTTTTGGATCCTCGTGCGAAGATAAAGACAACTGACAATCTTCAGTGCCCGATTGATGAAGAATTAACGTGGTGTATTGGGATTGGCTCAACATTGCAATTACAGTTGTAGATGATTTGGATTGATGGAGGACTGGAGCAAATC